TGGTAGAACTCACCAGTGAAGCCATCTGGGCCTGAGTTTTTATTGGGGGGAAGATTTTAAATTACTATTTCTACGTCTTTACTATTCTGATTTTTTATTTCTTCTTGAGTCAGTTTTAGTCGCCTGTGTCTTTCTAAGAATTTGTCTGTTTGACCTAGGTTTTTTAATTTGTGCCATACATTATGATCCTTTTTATTTCTCTAAGGTTGGTAATAATTTCTTCTTTTTCCTTACTGATTTTAGTACTTTGAGTCTTCTCTCTTTTTTTATGGCCTAGCTAAATGTCAATTTTATCATTCTTTTAAAATAATAAACTTTTTGGTTTGTTAACTTTCTCTTTTGTTTTGCTGTTCTCTATTTCATTAATTTCTGCTCTAATCTTTATTATATACTATCTTCTGCTTACTTTAGGTTTAGTTTGTTCTTTTTTTAGTGTGTTATGGTGGAAGTCTAGGTTATTGATTTGAGATCTTTCTTCTTTTTGATATATGCATTTATAGTGATAATTTTCCTGCTAAGCACTGCTTTGGCTACATCCCATGTTTTGGTATATTGTGTTTTTGTTTTCATTGGTCTCAAAGTATTTTCTACTTTTCCTTGTGATTCCTTCTTTAACCCATTGGTTATTTAGGAGTGTGTTGTTTAGTTTCCATGTTTGTCTATTTCACAAATTTCCTCTGTTATTGTTCCCTAATTTCATTACATTTTATTCAGAGAGCATACTTTACATGATTTCAATACTTTTAAATTTATGTAGGATTGTTTTATGGCCTAGCATATGGTGTGTCCTGGAAAATGTTCCATGTGCTCTTAAGAAGAATGTGTATTCTGCTGTTCTTGGGTTGAGTATCCTGTAGATATCTATTAGGTCTAATTGGTTATGCTGTTGTTCAAGTCTTCCATTTCTTTGTTGATCTTCTGCATAGTTGTTCTATTCATTATTAAAGTGGGTTATTGAAGTCCAACTATTACTGTTGAATTCTCTATTTCTCCCTTTAATTCCATCAGCTTTTCTTCATGTATTTTGTGGGCTCTTTCTTTAGGATGGATTGAGTCTTTTGTCATTATAAAGTATCCCTCTTTATCCCTATTGACATTTTTTGTATTAGAATACCTTCTGTCTGATATTGGTATAGGCAATTCAGCTCTCTCATAGTTGATGTTTGCGTGGTATATATTTTATATTTTTTGATCCTTTTACTTAACCTATGAATATAAACATAAAATATGTATACAGTCATCCCTCAGTATCCATGGGGGATCGGTTCCAGGACCCCTGCAGATGCCAAAATCTGCAGATGCTCAAGTCTCTTATATAAAAAGACATAGCATTTGCATATAACCTAGTCACAGCCTCCCGTATACTTTAAATTATCTCTAGATCATTTATAATACCTGATACAAAGTAAATGTTATATAAATAGTTGTTATACAGTACAGTATTGTTTAGGGAATGACAAGATGCAAGGTGAACAATGCTCAGACAACAAGTGCTGGAGAGAGACTGAGAATCTATGAAATGGTGAGAGGCTACAGCAGGGTATGCCTATACACCATTTCATTTGCTTGGATTCAGCCTAGTGCTCAGCATGTGGTAAACTCAAGTTTTGCTTTTTAGAACTTTCTTTTTTTTTTTTCCTCCCAAATATTTTTGATCTATGGTTGGTTGACTTCATGGATGCAGAACCTGCAGATGTGGAGGGCCGACTGTGTGTGTATATATATATATATATATATATATATATATATATATAATATAATATAATGTGTCTCCTGTAGACAGCATGTAGTTGGATCTTGTTTGTTAATCCAGTCAGAAAAATCTGTCTATTGGTTAGGTTATTTAATTTATTCACATTTTATGCTATTATTAATATAGTTTTACAACTTCCATTTTATCTTTTGTTTTTTATATGTCTCATATCATTTTATTCTTCTTTCCTTTTTATTGCTTCTTCAAAAAACTTCTTTTATATATATATAATTTATTTTATTTTTGTTGTTGTTGAGAATATACACAACAGAACATACATCAACTCCACAATTTCTACTTGTGCAATTCAATGACATTGATTACCTTTTAGAAGTTATGCAACCATTCTCACCCTTCTTTTCTGAGTTGTTCCTTCCCCATTAACATAAACTCACTGCTCCCTAAGGTTCCTATCTAATGTTCCCAGTTGCTATTGTCAGTTTGATCTCGTATAGAAAGATCTTAAAAGAGCATAATTCTCAAGGCAGACAGTTTTTACTAGATAAACTAAACTGTTGTTTGGCTTTAAGGGATATTTTTGGTTTAAATTTTAATTGTTTCAGGGGTTCATCCAACCTCCATGGCTCCAGAAAATATAGATTCCATGAGAATTTTAAATTTTGCTCTGCATTTTCCCCCTTTTGCTCTTGATTCTTCTATATCTTTGGTCAAAATGCAAAGAACTTCTTTTTAAAGAGTGAATGCACCTCAGACAGTTCTGAGCATGAAAATAATAATGAATTCCTATTCTAGCTCTAAAATTTTAGGCAAATGATTTTACCTAGGCTTCTCTTCATTTATAATATAAGCATATTATATACCTCGAAAACTGTGGTGAGGATTAAATGAGTATTTAGTGTATTAAAGCACCTAACACAGAAAGTGGCTCATCGTGGACACTAGGTAAATACTACTTCTCTACTTCAAGCAGATGACTATTTCACTGGATAGTTGTTTATTTAGTACAGCATCTGGCATATGGTATGTGTGCAATAAATGTTGAACTGGATTGAAGGACAGATGGATGGATGGATGAATATTTATGCGGTCAGAGTAATTTCAAAGGTTCCAATCATTGATTTACCAATATAAAAAAACCAAGACTAATATTCAGAATGTTTTAATTGTACAGCCTGAACACTGACTTATCAGAACTGATGCCAGCTGTCAGGAGTGGCTACATAATTAACATGACCTAGTAAAAAACAAAATACGGGGCTACTTCTTCAAAAATTATTAAGACTTTCAATATTGCAACAGCAGAACATTAAATTATGTTTGGGACCCTTCCAGGTGTGGGCCCCTGAAACCATCCCTGCTAGCTGTAACACTTGATTAGGGTCCTGGAGGACTACTGCTGTGCCGGGTGTTATTCCTTAGTTGCTGGATCTTGGGAGGTCTTGGAGGAAGGTTTCAAAGTGAGGGCTTGGAGCAGCCCCAGGTGGCAGAAGACAGATGAACAGATGGGCAGGGCATGGGAGGATTAACTCAGGGCACTGTTTGTATGCCAAGCATTTGGGAAATATTCAATAACTTAAAATTCCATCATAATGCAAAAAAAAAATGGAGTTCAAAAAATTCAATTGAATAAAATTTGGGGTCACATTATTGAAAGGTTAATAAACTTACACATCTAGTGTGTCAGGAGTTCTAAGGGTCCTTTTGCAAGGTCCAACTCTGTCCAGATTTGGTGCCACTTGCTTGTTATATCTACTTTGATGGAGTGATTATGACTGTGACTTCTAGGTTTATGGCAGCAATTCCAGAAATCATTTGATTTGTAAGGCTTGTTATGCATGTTCTGAACAGAGAAATTGAAATACTAGATCTTCAAGACCCATCTCGGCCTCCCAGGATAGAGTTCACTACCATTTCCCTTCCCAGCCTTGACCACTCCCTCCATATTCCTTCTTCCTCCCCAAACCTCCCCACAACACACGAAGTAGAATTTTAGCAAACTTAGTTTGGAGAGCTATCTCCAATTGTATTGTATTATCACGAGGGTTTTGATGTTTAACAAAGCCAGGTCTATCTAGGGAACAGTGGTACATCCAATCATTGATTCCAAGTGACAATAAAGGAAGGTGTTCTGGTTTACTGCTCAATTTTAGCTTTTATTTCCTTTTTAGAGATGATCTTGCCAATGATAGTCACAGCTGTAGTTACCTTGCCCCTGAGTTTGCCTCTCCATTGTATTATTTTATCCTTTTTTATTCTAAAATACTGCTCTAAACCAACACTTTTTAAATTGAATGCACAAATGAATCACCTAGGAGTGTTGTTAAAATGCAGGTTGCTGATTGATTAGGGTCTGGATAGGGGCCTGAGATTCTGCATTTCTAAAATCAAGCTCCCAGGTGATAACCACACTCAAGCACACACACTCACACACTCTATTGGTCTGTGGAGCAAAGAGTAGAGATACTCTGAATAATATTTAGTAAGAGTTAGTCCAAACTAAAAGTTGGCTCTTGATTACAATCTGTAGTCCATTATTCCCTAAGTTTTAAAGCAACTGTCTATACCTACTTGGCCACATTCTATCCTAGAAGTCAACTGTCAATTAGCCTGAAGGTTGAATGTGCTTCTAAAAGGCTTCTTACTAATTTAAGAAGCTTGCTCCTTTTGGTTCCCGAACCACAAAAAGTACACCATCAGAAAGTAGGAAATGTTGCCTGCCAACTAGTGGTGGAAACTCCCAAGCTTTTACTGTATAGTTTGTGACTTCTGATTTTCAAATATGCTCCCTAGTCATTTCATTATTTTCAAACTTTTAAGCACTGTATTCCTCCCACTTTTTTCTTTCATGAAATGTGAAAAACTCATTTAGGACCATGAATATATTTAAAGTGTCTTGCTTCCTATTAATCCTCTCCATGGGTTGCTTTTAAAGCCAAGCAATCTTATTCATGGTGAATACACGCATCTTAACTTCAATTTTAACAAACTAGGATCTCATCTTCCAAGATTTGGCAATGTCTCTATGGCTTAGTGCAAGTTACAAAATCACATTGTTTTATTAACACATGATTGAATCAATTCTGACCCATCCCTTGAACTCCCTATGTGCAGCACTCTCAAGGATTTATGAGGAAAAAAAAAACATTAACAGATTCTAGCAAATTTTCTACTAGTTAAGGGCTGAAGTACTCTAAAACCTATTTAAATACAAGAATGCCTTAAAATAAAACAAGATACATTTAACATTTTGAGAAAAATCAATTTAATAAGTCTCATATTTGACATTTGGCCATATGACTAGAAATTGGTAAATCAGCATAGTGTTTCTTGCCGAGTAAAAACTTCCTTTCTTGAATCAAAAATCTGGAATTAAGAAAGAGCTCCATTAATAACAAATAGTCATCAATAACACAAACTATTTCACTGAGGATTAATAACTCAGAGAAATAGACAAAAAAGCATTCAACAGAGAACTCAGTTGAAGCACTTCATACACATTTACATTTCTATCTCTAATAAAAGATATTTTTGTCTTAGTCCCAACTCCTTAAAGCTCACCAACCCATAGTGATCGCTCCATCCTCTGAAATACTATAACATTATCTGTATCACTCAAATAGTAATCATCTACAATCATTCTATAATGCAGGTTATATTTTTTCTATGTATTCTGTCTCCCCCAACTAGCGAGTGAGTTCCTGGAGGTCAGGTACTGCGTTGTGGAATTTTTTATGTGATCTTTTGCCTGTGGCACACTAGTAATATTTTTCAGTCTGTGTCTATTTTAAGTCACTCATTGCTTTCTCCCAATCCTACTTTTCTCCTCTAACTCTTTCTGCATACTATTCCCTAATCTAGATGTAAACAGTATTTCAGGTTCTAAAACATTATTCTTCTATTTACACAAAAGTAAGTCCACCCCAAATGTAGCCTTGTAAGGTTAATTTTAAACAATGTATTTTTGAAGATAGCATCATAATCCATACAACATCAACTGTACATCCACAGTGTGCAGGCAATATTATAAAACGTAGGTCCATCTGTTCTAAATGTCAAGTGTTTTTGTTTATCTAATCGGTTTCACACTAAACATTATAATGTTACACAACTTACCGTTTCAAGTACAGATCTTTGCTTATACAAAAGCAGTAAAGTTACTAACAAAACAAACAATGAGATAAAACCAAATGGTATCATGAAATATATCACAATTTCCTTCCATGTGTCACCTAGGATTAAAAGTCACATAAAAGGGGAAGGATTAGAGGTTTATAATTATTTTTTAAACAGAATTATTTTATAAATAAACTCCTAGGAAATGGTGGAGAACCGAGCTAAACTTGGCGACTTCTGCCATAGTTGCCAGTGCAGAGATACCACAGACATCCTTTTCGTTTTTGCACTTATATAAACTAGCTACTTGACTCAACCGGGACATTTGTTTTTTTCACTTAGAAAAAAAAAAAATCCCCAAAGCACAATTCTTATTTTCTGATATGATTTTGTTTAAACTAGGACCTTGTGATTTTTTTCATAAGAAAATGATAAAATTACCAACCAAGTGATTAGACAAACATGTCCTTTGTATCCCTTAACTATCCATAAGTCAAATGTTTATATTATTTTATATGCTGCTGTAGTGAGAAAGAGCTGGTCTTCAATAAAAGTCTCTGTCTGAGTGATGGAGCTCATCTTAAAAGGCTACATTTTTAAAGTTGTCTCATATTTAGAGAGCATGAAGTTTTAATGGTTCTTCTGTATAGCAAGAAATAAGCAATCACCAGACAAACTTAAAAGTAGCCAAAGCTTGTCCTTCCAAAATCTGTATCTCCCACTAACTTTGGAGTAATACCAAAAAAAAAAAAAAAAAATTGCCTTCAAGTCGATTCCGACTCAGAGCATCCTAAATCCTATACTCAGACCCAGTGCTTCAACCTTGCCCTCCTCCCTCCCTTCTTTGTCCTATTCCTTTAGGCTGTTATATTCTCCTAAAAAGTTACCAAATTCATATGCTCAAATCAGTTAAGATTTGCAAGGATATAATCCAAAGGAGTGACTGACAATACAAATTTTCTGGCATCCTAAATAACAGTGGGAAGGCAGGAGGCTCCTTTCCTGAGGTTCTGCAAATCATATATAGGCAGCCATTTACTTTCCCTATACCTAAGAGTCAATCTTGAAGAGGATATTTTTTATTTCCAAAAAAATTATTGTCCTATTTTTCTATAACTTAAATGATCCAATAAGAAATGTCCTACAAGAACTAAGACCACAAGCAACTCATGAAATTCTTCGTTCCTAATCTCAAAGTCCTTAAGATTCTACCAAGAGATACCAATCAGGGCAAAAGAAATCTCAGTAATCATATCATTGTTAAGATGGTATATAAAATACATATAAGGATGTATATTTTGAGGATAGGGCTAAAAACGCATGAAGGATATTTTCACTGTACCCGCTTTAAACTATGAATTGACTTACTGCTAGATACAATTCAGGAAATTACTTTCTCAATGTCAGTTCCATAGAGTCTCCAGATTTTTTAGAAAAGTGACAAAAATAAAAAATGTAGACTCAGTAAGTGTTTTTCTGGTTCCATATATCTCTTGGTCAATTGAGTTCTCTGCCTAATTTTTCTCCATATCCCTTATATGATGTATTTGATATATCTGACTTCTTTGTTTATTGTCTCTCTCTACCCAATCCAGGAATAAAATGTAAGTTCCGTGAGTCAGAGACTTCTTCACTGTTGTATCTCCAGTGTCTGACAAGAGTCTGACATATAGTAGGGCCTTAATAAATATTTGATGAGTGAAAGGGAACAATACCACTACATTCACAGCAAGACAATAGTGAAAAAGGAATTCCATTATAGCAGAACTACATGAAAGGAGATGCATGACTGATAGAAACACCAGTATCTGTCTGTATCATATCTGTGTATATATTTCCAAACCCAAACCAAATCTGTTGTCGTAGAGTCGATTACGACTCATAGCGACCCTATAGGAAAGAGTAGAACTGCCCCATAGAGTTTCCAAGGAGCGCCTGGTGGATTTGAACCATTTGGTTAGCAGCCGTAGTACTTAACCACTACGCCACCAGGGTTTCCGTATATATATTTATAGCTGCATATATGTCTATATACCTGAAAGAGCAATGCAGAGTTAATTTACTACAACTTGAAACAAATATTAGTGATTTCAATTGTTAAAGCTAGTAGTACCGTGAAAAACAATTAGATTTTCCTTCACTCACTAGGCTTTTTAGCTTATATTTCTATTTAAATATGCCTTTTATCATAATCACTTTAAATCAGTGTTGAAAGTGAGTGGAATATGCATTTTACATATCATAGCTTCTTAATTATAAAAATATGCCTTAGGCATGGAACTAGACACTCGAACACAAGTGTATGCTGGCCTACTCCTGCTTTAAGTAAAGGCTTGTATTCTCTTGAAAACTGAAAGTAAAAAACAATGATTAAAATCTAGACTCCAGTCCAAAATTTTTTTTTAAACTACAATATTCTCCTTCCTGACAGTCAGGAAAAACAAGAATGCTGATAGAAGAAGAGTAACAGGATGAATTCTAATTGAATATTAGTTTTTCAATAAATCTATGTTCAATTGAGGTACTTGCTAATGTATCTTCCCTGTTTATAGACTCTATACAGACAATTTTGATTTCCATAATTACAAAATATACTGAAAGAAAATTAATTTTGCTAGCAGCTGCTGTTTGTTGTTAGGTTCCGCAGAGTCGGTACCCACTCATAGCCACCCCGGGTATGAGAGAATGAAACACTGCCTGGTCCTTTGTCATTCTCACAATCATTGCTATGCTTGAGCCCACTGTTGCAGTCACTGTGTCATTCCATCTTGTTGTCGCTGACTCTCTACTTTACCAAGCATGATGTCCTTCTCCAGGGACAGATCCCTCCTGCTAACATGTACAAAGTAACTGAGACTTGCTTCTAAGGAGCATTCTCGCCACACTACTTCTAAGACAAATTTGTTCGTTCTTCTGGCAGTCCATGTTATATTCAATATTCTTCGCCAACACCATAATTCAAAGCATCAAGTCTTCTGTCTTCCTTATTCGTTGTCCAGCACTTTTGCGTGCATATGAGGTGATTGAAAATACCATAGCTTGGGTCAGGCACACCTTAGTCCTCAAAGTGACTTCTTTGCTTTTTAACACTTTAAAGAGGTCTCTTGCAGCAGATTTGCCCAACGCAATACGTTGTTTGATTTCTTGACGGCTGCTTTCATGGGCGTTGATTGTGGATCCAAGTGAAATGAAATCCTTGACAACTTCAATATTTTCTCCGTTTATCATGATGTTGCTTACTGGACAAGTTTTGAGGATTTTGGTTTTCTTTTTGTTGAGATATAATCCATACTGAAGGCTGTTGTCTTTGATCTTCATCAGTAAGTGCTTCAAGTCCTCTTTACTTTCAGCAAGCAAGGTTGTGTTATCTGCGTATCACAGGTTGATAATGAGTCTTTCTCTAATCCTGATGCCACATTCTTCTTCATATAGTCCA